TATCTCTCTCCCTTCCTCTCTGTAAAAAATCAATAAAATATATTAAAAAATAAAAATAAAAATAAAAATCCCTGTTTAAGAAAGTCAGCACACAAAAAGTCAACAGATGGGTAACAGACCTGGGCCAAACAATTGAAGTAAAAATCATTGCCCTGGCCGGTTTGGCTCAGTGGATGGAGCGTTGGCCTTCGGACTCAGGGGTCCCGGGTTCAATTCCAGTCAAAGGCACATACCTTGGTTGCGGGCACATCCCCAGTGGGGAGTGTGCGGAAGGCAGCTGATCAATGTTTCTCTCTCATCGATGTTTCTAACTCTCTATCCCTTTCCCTTCCTCTCTGTAAAAAATCAATAAAAATATATTTTTTAAAAAATCATTAAAAAAGACAAAAAGTCCCATAGAAAAAAGGACAAAGGATACAAACAAACAATTTACAAGAGAAGAAACAGAATTGCAGTACATGTAAAGACATCCTCAAACTGACACACCTTCAGAGAAATGCAAATTTAATAAGAAAATACTGTTTTCTGCATACAAAATGGCAAAAATTATAAATTCATGTAATTCCAAGCACTGACACAGATCTAGGATAATGGTACTATTGTATGTCTGATCGTAATTTAAACTGCTGCACTCATTATGAAGAACGTCTTGTCAGTACTTAGGGAATTAATATAGAGCTATCCAATTACCTGGAAATCCAACTCCTTGCCATATAATTCCAAGAAAACTCGTGACAGGCCCAGGACACATGTGCAAAGATATTGATGGCAATATTGATTGTGGTACCAATAAGTAAAATGAGGAAAGTGCCTACAAAGAAATGTTTTAAAGAAGTGAAATTTAGCCCAGTTGGCATGGCTCAGTGGGTGAGCATCGACCTATGAACCAGGAGGTCACAGTTCAATTCCCAGTCAGGGCAAGATTGCAGGCTTGATCCCTGGTGTGGGGCGTGCAGGAGGCAGCCGATCAATGATTTTCTCTCATCATTGATGTTTCTATCTCTCCCTCTCCCTTCCTCTCTGAAATCAATAAAAATATTTTTTTTAAAAAAGAAGTGGTATTTAGTAAGTTATATACCTATTTAGTGATATATACAACTTCATAAACACAATATGGCATTAAAAAGATGTAAAATAAGATTTATATCATAATACAATATATGCCAAGTTAAAATACACACATACAATATATACATTAAGAATAAAAAAGGTAGCCCTAGCCAGTTTGGCTCAGTGGATAGAGCGTCAGCCCACAGACTGAAGGTTCACAGGTTCGATACTGTTCAAGGCCATGTACCTTAGTTGCACACTTGATCCTGGGCCGTGGGCTGGGCGCTTGTGGGAGACAACCAATCTATGTGTCTCTCTTGCATCGATTTTTCTGTTTCTCCCTCTCCCTTCCACTCTCTCTCTCTAAAAAAAAAAAAAATAAAAAAAATAAATGGCAATATATCCTTGGGTGAGGATTAACAAAACCAACCATAAAAATTAAAAATGTAGAATGGAGGAACATAGAGTTGATAAAATAGGAATTGGGGTTAGGAATGGAAGTAGAAATGAAGAATGTAATAATATAAAACAAAAGAAGGGTTTTGCATTGACCAATAATAATGTGCCACGAATGAACTGAGGGTACCTTTAATTCAATTCAGTGAATGTGGAAACCAAAAAGGAAAGTAAAAATATTTTGTAAAATCTGAACAGTACTGGTAAACAAATCTCATAAGCACTTGAATATACAAACTGAGGAGATTAAAAATGGTGGCGGAGTAAGTGGATGCTACACACTGACACACTCCCAGGACCAAACTGGAATTACAACTAATACACACACAAAAAAATCCTAAGTAATCAACTGAAGACTATCCGGAAAGAACCCTAATAAACAAGGACAAAAAGTGGAGACTGCAAACAGAAAGATAGAACTGCGGAAGCACGAAAGGGCTGGCCGGGCTCCCACAGACAGCAGCTGAAGTTCTGGAGAGATATCTCAGCTGGGGAGGGTGGGAGGATTGCCACTGAGAACTCTGGGTCTAAACCCAAAATTGGGCCCCCCAGCCAAGAGCACAAGAACTGAGAAAGGTGCCCACATTACATCTGGCTGTGAAAAACTTAAGAGTTGCTGTCTGCCAAGGAGAGACAGCTGGAAATGCAGGCCAACACCCACAATTTCATGTGCAGGCACTCACCTCAGGTTCTGGCAGAGGTAGGGCAGTGTGGACTGGAGCTGTATGAACACAAGCCAGGGTTTGGGGCTCTAGGGTTAGCGCTCAGAAGGCAGACACCCTGGTTTCCTGTGCTGAGTCATTCCCTCTCACTGAACAGGACAACTTTCTCAGACAGACCTTTGCTATCCAGGAGGTTTTTGCCTGGGGGAAGGTAGTTGCCACATCCCATTGGAAAACACTTGCCCCACCCTGTGGAGTTTCTGAGGCCCATTAAGAGACTAAGAATAACAATTTGACTCCAGGCAGAAGGAATTTCCCCACCCATTTGGAAAACTCTCACCAAACCTGTGGGCGATAGCCTGAGGCTACTCACAAATGAATACAAACAGTCTGCAGGCAGAATAGGGGTCTCAGGAGGCTTTGAGTATCTGCCTGATCTAATTAGTCAGAAACACCTTTTGACAATGTCCTGCACTAGAGAATGGGAGGCATAGCAATCTACTGAACACATTCACAAACCCAAACGGGCAACCAAAATAGAGAGACAAAAAAAATAACGCCCAGACGAAAGTCCAAGAGAATTCTTCAGAAGAAGAGCTAAATGAAGTGGAGAGAAGAAATTTATAAGACATGGAGTTCTGAATAATGATGGCAAAGATGCTGAACATCATAAGAAAAGATATAGTAACTATGAAGAATGACATATCAGTAATAAAGAACACAGTTGAAGGAATATACAGCAGAACAGAGGGAAGCCGAGGATCAGATCAATGAATTAGAAAAAGGGGTAGAAAAAAATCACTCAATCAGAGAACCAAAAAGAAAAAAACAATTAAAAACCAAAAGGACAGCTTAAGTAAATTGAAGGACAACCTGAAATGTAACAATATTTGCATAATAGATGTGGCAGAAGGAGAAGAAAGTGAGCAAGGGATAGAGAATGTGTTTGAAGAAATAATGGCAGAAAACTTCCCTAATGTGGGGAAGGAAAAAGTCACACAAGTTCAGGAGGCACAGAGAGTCCCAAGCAAGAAGAACCCAAACAAGCCCACGCCAAGGCACATCATAATTAAAATGCCAAAAATTAAGGACAAAGAGAGACTCTTAAAGGCAGCAAGAGAAAAGCAATTTGTTACCTACAAAGGAGCTCCCATAAGGCTATCAGCTGATTTCTCATCAGAAACTCCACAGGCCAGAAGGGAATGGCATGAAGTACTCCAAGTAATGAAAAGCAAGGATCTGAAACCAAGATTACTATATTCAGCAATAGATGGTGAAATAAAGAGCTTCCCAGGCAAAAAAAAAAAAAAAAAAAAAAAAAAAAAAAAGGGGGGTTTA